CTAAATCATTATTCAATTGACTAAAATGTGACTAAGACTTAATTATATTTTAGCCTAAATTACTAAGACTAGACTACATCTAAAACACTGCAGTAGCCACAGCAACCATCATGGAATGGTACGTCACGTTGACAATGAAGGAGCTGATTGGCTGACACTGCCATTCCTAATTGGCTGCGGTGGCTACTGCTAGCTAGCATGAAGAGAAAGGACAGTCTTCTGGGAACACTGGCAGTATTTCAATCTTCTCGACGGAGCAGTGTGGATAAAGGTCAAATTGAGTACATATCCCATCCCTGCATTGAGGTACATTTTCTGACCCGTATCTCACACCGGCTCCACGGTGTCTTAATGTAAATATGATTGCGTTCCCAGCTCAATGTAAACAAGCGTAATGGCAGGGGCGGTATCTTCTGGCTAGGGTCTCCTCCTCTTGCTGCCCTTGCAGCTGCCGTGGTGACAGTCACACTGAGATGGAAAGAAGTCTGTCTGACCAGCTGGTGTGTGGCAACATTGTTGCAACATGACATCAGGGGAGCCAGCTGATTCCGAAATGTAACAATGTAGCAACAAATGGAAGGAGCTTGTTGACATGGTGTGTTGTAGCTCGAGACAGCAGTAGCCATATTCTGAGTGACTAACTATGTCGAAGGCAGCAGTAGCCATATTCTGAGTGACTAACTATGTCGAAGGCACTAGTAGCCATATTCTGAGTGACTAACTATTTCGAAGGCAGCAGTAGCCATATTCTGAGTGACTAACTATGTCGAAGGCAGCAGTAGCCATATTCTGAGTGACTAACTATGTCGAAGGCAGCAGTAGCCATATTCTGAGTGACTAACTATGTTGAAGGCAGCAGTAGCCATATTCTGAGTGACTAACTATGTCGAAGGCAGCAGTAGCCATATTCTGAGTGACTAACTATGTCGAAGGCACTAGTAGCCATATTCTGAGTGACTAACTATGTTGAAGACAGCAGTAGCCATATTCTGAGTGACTAACTATGTCGAAGGCAGCAGTAGCCATATTCTGAGTGACTAACTATGTCGAAGGCAGCAGTAGCCATATTCTGAGTGACTATGTCGAAGGCAGCAGTAGCCATATTCTGAGTGACTAACTATTTCGAAGGCAGCAGTAGCCATATTCTGAGTGACTAACTATGTCGAAGGCAGCAGTAGCCATATTCTGAGTGACTAACTATTTCGAAGGCAGCAGTAGCCATATTCTGAGTGACTAACTATGTTGAAGGCAGCAGTAGCCATATTCTGAGTGACTAACTATGTCGAAGGCAGCAGTAGCCATATTCTGAGTGACTAACTATGTCGAAGGCAGCAGTAGCCATATTCTGAGTGACTAACTATGTCGAAGGCAGCAGTAGCCATATTCTGAGTGACTAACTATGTTGAAGGCAGCAGTAGCCATATTCTGAGTGACTAACTATGTCGAAGGCAGCAGTAGCCATATTCTGAGTGACTAACTATGTCGAAGGCAGCAGTAGCCATATTCTGAGTGACTAACTATGTCGAAGGCACTAGTAGCCATATTCTGAGTGACTAACTATGTTGAAGACAGCAGTAGCCATATTCTGAGTGACTAACTATGTCGAAGGCAGCAGTAGCCATATTCTGAGTGACTAACTATGTCGAAGGCAGCAGTAGCCATATTCTGAGTGACTATGTCGAAGGCAGCAGTAGCCATATTCTGAGTGACTAACTATTTCGAAGGCAGCAGTAGCCATATTCTGAGTGACTAACTATGTTGAAGGCAGCAGTAGCCATATTCTGAGTGACTAACTATGTCGAAGGCAGCAGTAGCCATATTCTGAGTGACTAACTATTTCGAAGGCAGCAGTAGCCATATTCTGAGTGACTAACTATGTTGAAGGCAGCAGTAGCCATATTCTGAGTGACTAACTATGTCGAAGGCAGCAGTAGCCATATTCTGAGTGACTAACTATGTCGAAGGCAGCAGTAGCCATATTCTGAGTGACTAACTATGTCGAAGGCAGCAGTAGCCATATTCTGAGTGACTAACTATGTCGAAGGCAGCAGTAGCCATATTCTGAGTGACTAACTATGTCGAAGGCAGCAGTAGCCATATTCTGAGTGACTAACTATGTCGAAGGCAGCAGTAGCCATATTCTGAGTGACTAACTATTTCGAAGGCAGCAGTAGCCATATTCTGAGTGACTAACTATGTTGAGGGCAGCAGTAGCCATATTCTGAGTGACTAACTATGTCGAAGGCAGCAGTAGCCATATTCTGAGTGACTAACTATGTCGAAGACAGCAGTAGCCATATTCTGAGTGACTAACTATGTCGAAGACAGCAGTAGCCATATTCTGAGTGACTAACTATGTCGAAGGCAGCAGTAGCCATATTCTGAGTGTCTAACTGTGTCGAAGACAGCAAGTGAATATGAGGTAGTTGTCCTCTATAGCTGCTTATTCGTTAGGTACAGTTGAAGTCGGAAGTTTACATACACCTTAGCCAAATACATTTAAACTCAGTTCTTCACAATTCCTGACATTTAATCCCAGAAAAAATTCCCTGTCTTAGGTCAGTTAGGATCACCACTTTATTTTAAGAATGTGAAATTTCAGAATAATAGTAGAGAGAATGATTTATTTCAGCTTTTATTTATTTCATCACATTCCCAGTGGGTCAGAAGTGTACATACACTCAATTAGTATTTCGTAGCATTGCCTTTAAAATTGTTTAACTTGGGTCAAACGTTTCGGGTAGCCTTCCACAAGCTTCCCACAATAAGTTGGGTGAATTTTGGCCCATTCCTCCTGACAGAGCTGGTGTAACTGTGTCAGGTTTGTAGGCCTCCTTGCTACCCATTTGCGACCAAGCTTTAACTTCCTGACTGATGTCTTGAGATGTTGCTTCTATATATCCACATAATTTTCCTTCCTCATGATGCCATCTATTTTGTGAAGTGCACCAGTCCCTCCTGCAGCAAAGCACCCCCACAGCATGATGCTGCCACCCCAGTGCTTCACGGTTGTGATGGTGTTCTTCGGCTTGCAAGTGCCCCCTTTTTCCTCCAAACATAACGATGGTCATTATGGCCAAACATTTCTATTTTTGTTTCATCAGAACAGAGGACATTTCTCCAAAAAGTACAATATTTGTCCCCATGTGCAGTTGCAAACCGTAGTCTGGCTTTTTTATGGCGGTTTTGGAGCAGTGGCTTCTTCCTTGCTCAGCGGCCTTTCAAGTTATGTCGATATAGGACTCGTTTTACTGTGGATATAGATACTTTTGTACCTGTTTCCTCCAGCATCTTCACAAGGTCCTTTGCTGTTGTTCTGGGATTGATTTGCACTTTTCGCACCAAAGTACGTTCATCTCTAGGAGACCGAACCCGTCTCCTTCCTGAGCGGTATGACGGCTGCGTGGTCCCATGGTGTTTATACTTGCGTAGTATGGTTTGTACAGATGAACGTGGTACCTTCAGGCGTTTGGAAATTGCTCCCAAGGATGACCCGACTTGTGAAGGTTTCCCCTTTTTTCTGAGGGCTGATTTCTTTTGATTTTCCCATGATGTCAAGCAAAGAGGCACTGAGTTTGAAGGTAGGCCTTGAAATACATCCACAGGTACACCTCCAATTGACTCAAATGATGTCAATTAGCCTATCAGAAACTTCTAAAGCCATGACATCATTTTCTGGTATTTTCCAAGCTGTTTAAAGGCACAGTCAACTTAGTGTATGTAAACTTCTGACCCACTGGAATTGTGATACAGTGAATTATAAGTGAAATAACCTGTCTGTAAACAAATGTTGGAAAAATGACTTGTGTCATGCACAAAGTAGATGTCGTAACCAACTTGCCAAAACTATAGTTTGTTAACAAGAAATTTGTGGAGTGATTGAAAAACAAGTTTTAATGACTCCAACCAAAGTGTATGTAAACTTCCGACTTCCAACTGTATTACTCAAACAGAGTTGGCCTAGTTATGAACTTTTATTTTGACAGTCCTTCAGAAGCTTCATATAAACATTTTAAATCAAAGGTTAGTTTGTTAACCTCCTCCCATCTTGTTTCAGACCATTACCTACATCATAGAGGACGCTAAAACAAGCCGAATGTAAGTGCCAGGTACAGGAATAATACTACTGCTAATACAATATTAACCACGGAGCCACAATGATTCCCTTTATTCCTATTTGGACTGAACATGTAAGGCTAGATATCTCCATTCTGCTTTGATATGATATGACATCATGCTGATTCATCACTTTTGGCATTGACCAATTGGCAACATTGGAGGTAAATCATAGACCATCTACATTTTAGTCCAAATGCATGCAGCGCTCTGATTTTTAACTTATGATTAGTACTTTCATAGTTGTTGCATTGCAAGTTTATTCTTACTGTTTTGATTGTTTTTTTGTGCTTTAAAAAAAAAAACTAAATTGTAAACATAATGTATCCTTGTGTCTGTAATGGGGGTCGTTCCCCCTCAAAAAGCAGGAGGACGTTGACACCCATCAGGTCAGATTGGTCTGGAATTGTTAGAAACAGATCAGATTAACATTCCTGCACCATTGTTTTGTTGAAATGTAAGTTGATCTCTGAGAAATTGAGCTAATTGATTGCACCCAAATTGGCTATTTTAATTTATAGGATTCATTATAAATTGGCTTTCGACCATTTCTTTAGATTCTTCATGTCTTGCACATTGTTAGAAAAAAGTTTGGTCCAAATCGGATGTTAGTTACTAAATTTATATTTATTGAATATTATATGAATCCTATTAATTTGGGTGCAGTCAATTAGCTTAATTTCTCAGAGATCAAATTATATTTCAACAAAATAATGTTGCAGGAATGTTAATCTTATCTGTTTCTAACTACAGAAACAATTTCAGGACAATCTGATATGTGGGTGTCATGGCTTGCTGAAATGACGACCCATATGTTAGTTCTGTGATGAGCAAGCTTCCTTTTCGGTGGTTGTCGTACTAAAACCTTGTCACTTCTTGTTTGAATGTCCGGTACAGGAAGAGAGCGGCTGCAAAGCATCTAATTGAGCGGTACTTTCGCCAGTTAACAGAGGGCTGTGGAAATGGGGCCTGCACCAACGAGTTCTGTGCTTCGTGTCTTGGATTTCAACCGCTGGATCACAACACAGCGGCTATCAGAGCCCTGGAGCTGTGGAAAATGGGCACCAAACTGTGTGACCCTCACCCCTCCGCTGCTCACCCCTTCGCTGCTCACCCCTCCGCTGCCTTCCCTGACAACAACAGTGCCAAAGAGACACAACCTGCCTTATTGGGCGACCGCCCCGGGAAGATGACAGACCACAAAGACCGCCTGCTTCCCCCTAGGGAAGACTTCAGAGGTAAACACTTTTCACATAAATACACACTGCCTGCGTCCCAAATGGCACCCTATTCCCTATATAGTGCACTACTTTAGACCAGAGAATGGCACCCTATTCCCTATATAGTGCACTACTTTAGACCAGAGAATGGCACCCTATTCCCTATATAGTGCACTACTTTAGACCAGAGAATGGCACCCTATTCCCTATATAGTGCACTACTTTAGACCAGAGAATGGCACCCTATTCCCTATATAGTGCACTACTTTAGACCAGAGAATGGCACCCTATTCCCTATATAGTGCACTACTTTAGACCAGAGAATGGCACCCTATTCCCTATGTAGTGCACTACTTTAGACCAGAGAATGGCACCCTATTCCCTATATAGTGCACTACTTTAGACCAGAGAATGGCACCCTATTCCCTATATAGTGCACTACTTTAGACCGGAGAATGGCACCCTATTCCCTATATAGTGCACTACTTTAGACCGGAGAATGGCACCCTATTCCCTATATAGTGCACTACTTTAGACCAGAGAATGGCACCCTATTCCCTATATAGTGCACTACTTTAGACCAGAGAATGGCACCCTATTCCCTATATAGTGCACTACTTTAGACCAGAGAATGGCACCCTATTCCCTATATAGTGCTTACTACTTTAGACCAGAGAATGGCACCCTATTCCCTATATAGTGCACTACTTTAGACCAGAGAATGGCACCCTATTCCCTATATAGTGCTTACTACTTTAGACCAGAGAATGGTACCCTATTCCCTATATAGTGCACTACTTTAGACCAGAGAATGGCACTCTATTCCCTATATAGTGCACTACTTTAGACCAGAGAATGGCACCCTATTCCCTATATATTGCACTACTTTAGACCAGAGAATGGCACCCTGTTCCCTAGATAGTGCACTACTTTAGACCAGAGAATGGCACCCTATTCCCTATATAGTGCACTACTTTAGACCAGAGAATGGCACCCTATTCCCTATATAGTGCACTACTTTAGACCAGAGAATGGCACCCTATTCCCTATATAGTGCACTACTTTAGACCAGAGAATGGCACCCTATTCCCTATATATTGCACTACTTTAGACCAGAGAATGGTACCCTATTCCCTATAAAGTGCACTACTTTAGACCAGAGAATGGCACCCTATTCCCTATATAGTGCACTACTTTAGACCAGAGAATGGCACCCTATTCCCTATATAGTGCACTACTTTAGACCAGAGAATGGCACCCTATTCCCTTTATAATGCACTACTTTAGACCAGAGAATGGCACCCTATTCCCTATATAGTGCACTACTTTAGACCAGAGAATGGCACCCTATTCCCTATATAGTGCACTACTTTAGACCGGAGAATGGCACCCTATTCCCTATATAGTGCACTACTTTAGACCGGAGAATGGCACCCTATTCCCTATATAGTGCACTACTTTAGACCAGAGAATGGCACCCTATTCCCTATATAGTGCACTACTTTAGACCAGAGAATGGCACCCTATTCCCTATATAGTGCACTACTTTAGACCAGAGAATGGAAACCCTATTCCCTATATAGTGCACTACTTTAGACCAGAGAATGGCACCCTATTCCCTATATAGTGCACTACTTTAGACCAGAGAATGGCACCCTATTCCCTATAAAGTGCACTACTTTAGACCAGAGAATGGCACCCTATTCCCTATATAGTGCACTACTTTAGACCAGAGAATGGCACCCTATTCCCTATATAGTGCACTACTTTAGACCAGAGAATGGCACCCTATTCCCTTTATAATGCACTACTTTAGACCAGAGAATGGCACCCTATTCCCTATATAGTGCACTACTTTAGACCAGAGAATGGCACCCTATTCCCTATATAGTGCACTACTTTAGACCGGAGAATGGCACCCTATTCCCTATATAGTGCACTACTTTAGACCGGAGAATGGCACCCTATTCCCTATATAGTGCACTACTTTAGACCAGAGAATGGCACCCTATTCCCTATATAGTGCACTACTTTAGACCAGAGAATGGCACCCTATTCCCTATATAGTGCACTACTTTAGACCAGAGAATGGCACCCTATTCCCTATATAGTGCACTACTTTAGACCAGAGAATGGCACCCTATTCCCTATATAGTGCACTACTTTAGACCAGAGAATGGCACCCTATTCCCTATATAGTGCTTACTACTTTAGACCAGAGAATGGTACCCTATTCCCTATATAGTGCACTACTTTAGACCAGAGAATGGCACCCTATTCCCTATATAGTGCACTACTTTAGACCAGAGAATGGCACCCTATTCCCTATATAGTGCACTACTTTAGACCAGAGAATGGCACTCTATTCCCTATATAGTGCACTACTTTAGACCAGAGAATGGCACCCTATTCCCTATATATTGCACTACTTTAGACCAGAGAATGGCACCCTGTTCCCTAGATAGTGCACTACTTTAGACCAGAGAATGGCACCCTATTCCCTATATAGTGCACTACTTTAGACCAGAGAATGGCACCCTATTCCCTATATAGTGCACTACTTTAGACCAGAGAATGGCACCCTATTCCCTATATAGTGCACTACTTTAGACCAGAGAATGGCACCCTATTCCCTATATAGTGCACTACTTTAGACCAGAGAATGGCACCCTATTCCCTATATAGTGCACTACTTTAGACCAGAGAATGGCACCCTATTCCCTATATAGTGCACTACTTTAGACCGGAGAATGGCACCCTATTCCCTATATAGTGCACTACTTTAGACCAGAGAATGGCACCCTATTCCCTATATAGTGCACTACTTTAGACCAGAGAATGGCACCCTATTCCCTATATAGTGCACTACTTTAGACCAGAGAATGGCACCCTATTCCCTATATAGTGCACTACTTTAGACCAGAGAATGGCACCCTATTCCCTATATAGTGCACTACTTTAGACCAGAGAATGGCACCCTATTCCCTATATAGTGCACTACTTTAGACCAGAGAATGGCTCCCTATATATTGCACTACTTTAGACCAGAGAATGGTACCCTATTCCCTATAAAGTGCACTACTTTAGACCAGAGAATGGCACCCTATTCCCTATATAGTGCACTACTTTAGACCAGAGAATGGCACCCTATTCCCTATATAGTGCACTACTTTAGACCAGAGAATGGCACCCTATTCCCTATAAAGTGCACTACTTTAGACCAGAGAATGGCACCCTATTCCCTATATAGTGCACTACTTTAGACCAGAGAATGGCACCCTATTCCCTATAAAGTGCACTACTTTAGACCAGAGAATGACACCCTATTCCCTATATAGTGCACTACTTTAGACCAGAGAATGGCACCCTATTCCCTATAATAGTGCACTACTTTAGACCAGAGAATGGCACCCTATTCCCTTTATAATGCACTACTTTAGACCAGAGAATGGCACCCTATTCCCTATATAGTGCACTACTTTAGACCAGAGAATGGCACCCTATTCCCTATATAGTTCACTACTTTAGACCAGAGAACGGCACCCTATTCCCTATATAGTGCACTACTTTAGACCAGAGAACGGCACCCTATTCCCTATATAGTGCACTACTTTAGACCAGGGTCCTATGACACTCTATTCCCTATATAATGCACTACTTTAGACCAGGGCCCTGAGCACGGTTTCCCGATAGCGAGTGTTTTAACTACAACGCCACACAGAGAGAAGGTTCACCTGGTGTGTCGTTGAGGCGTAGTGTCCATACTGATAGGATTCTAATCTTACCTTAACATTAGAGTTATTCCACAATACTGACAACGGATCAGCTCCTAGAAAGATTTTACCACCTACGGCTGAAAAGATTGAGGCAGCTTATTCTAATGCTTTTACCCTATAATAATGCACTAAATCAAGATCATTGCGCACTTGTTGTTACGCATCATGGAAAGATATTGAGACAAATTTGACAGTAGGCCAAAGCCTACAAGTAGCTAAATAGAACTCAATTGAATAAACATGAAACTGTTTTCAAGATGATTGAAATGCACAGCATTCGGAAAGTATTCAGACCCCTTGACTTTTTCCACATTTTGTTACGTTACAGCCTTATTCTAAAATGGATTAAATAATTTGTTTGCCTTATCAATCTACACAAAGTACTCCATAATGACAAAGTGAAAACAGATTTTTTGAAATTCTGTCAAATTTATAAAAAATAAACCGATACCTTATTTATATAAGTATTCAGACCTTTTGCTATGATACTCGAAATTGAGCTCAGGTGCATCCTGTTTCCATTGGTCATCCTTGAGATGTTTCTACAACTTGGAGTCCTCCTGTGGTAAATTCAGTTGATTGGACATGATTTGGAAAGGTACACACCTGTCTATATAAGGTCCCACAGTTGACAGTGCATGTCAGAGCAAAATCCTAGCCATGAGGTCGAAAGAATTAACCTTGGGCTCAGAGACAGGATTGTGTTGAGGCACAGATCTGGGGAAGGGTACCAAAAAATGTCTGCAGTATTGAAGGTCCACAAGAACCCGATGGTCCCTCTGACAGAGCTCCAGAGTTCCTCTGTGGAGATGGGAGAACCTTCCAGAAGGACAACCATCTCTGCAGCACTCCACCAATCAGGCCTTTATGGTAGAGTGGCCAGACGGAAGCCACTCCTCAGTAAAAGGCACATGACAGCCCGCTTGGAGTTTGCCAAAAGGCACCTAAAGGACTCTCAGACTATGAGAAACAAGATTCTCTGGTCTGATGAAACCAAGATTGAACTATTTGGCCTGAATGCCAAGCGTCACATCTGGAGGAAACCTGGCACCGCTAATCACCTGGCCAATACCATCCCTACGATCTCCGTCTGAGGCGAAGGTTCACCTTTCAACAGGACAACGATCCTAAGCACACAGCCAAGACAACGCAGGAGTGGCTTCGGGACAAGTCTCTGAATGTCCTTGAGTGGCTCGGCCAGAGCCCGGACTTGATCCCGATCGAACATCTCTGGAGAGACCTGAAAATAGCTGTGCAGCGACGCTCCCCATCCAACCTGACAGAGCTTGGAAGGATCTGGGAGAAACTCCCCAAACCCAGCTGTGCCAAGCTTGTAGCGTCATACCCAAGAAGACTCGAGGCTGTAATCGCTGCCAAAGGTGCTTCAACAAAGTACTGAGTAAAGGGTCTGAATACTTATGTAAATGTCATTTAACTTTTGTATTTTTAATACTTTTGCAAAAATGTCTTAACCAGTTTTTGCTTTGTCATTATGGGGTATTGTGTGTAGATTGATGAGGTGGGGGGGGGGGGACAATTTAATCAATTTCAGAGTAAGGCTTTAACACAACAAAATGTGGAAAAAGTCAAGGGGTCTGAATATTTTCCGAATGCATTGTATAGGGGATAGGGGGCCATTCGGGATGTGGACACACAAACACCTTTTTTCTCCATTCATGCTATTCAATATTCATTCATTTTAGATTGAAACGGTTGCTCATTATTTTTCTCTGTGATCTTTCTGTGTCCAGAGGTGCATTACCTGACCGAGGAGAAGGTGTATGAGATCCTGAGTATCTGTGAGGGGAAGAAGGACTACTCTCCTCTGATCCGAGTCATCGGGAGGATCTTCTCCAGCGCAGAGGGTCTGGTGCAGAGCTTCAGGAAAGACAAGGAACAACACCCCAACACCAAGGAGCAGCGCAAGACCCACCAGGCCAAAGATGAGGACAAGGATGAGGACGACAAGGAGAGAACCAGCGCCATGGAGCAGGAATCAGAGGAATCCGAGGCCTCGGCGTCCATGGAGGGGGCGACGGGAGCGACGGAGAACACACTGGGTCCTGTAGAGGTCTCAGTGGACATAGAAGCTGTCAGGAGAGTGTACGACAGACTCCTCTCCAACGAGAAGATGGAAGCAGCCTTCCTCAACGCGCTGGTCTACCTGACCCCCAACGTAGAGCTGGATCTAACCTATCTAGACGTCTACGACACCAACCCAGACTACCTAAACATCTTCATCATCGTGATGGAGAACAGCAACCTCCACAGCCCAGAGTACCTGGAGATGGCTATGCCCCTGTTCTGTAAGTGCATGAGTAAACTCCCGCTGCCTGCCCGGGCCAAGCTGACGCGCCTGTGGTCTCAGTACAGTGTAGAACACATCAGAAGTATGATGGAGACCTTCCAGCAGCTTATCACCTACACGGTAACGTTACAGTCTTTATTTGATTATAAGTTTTTCTTTTAATCATGCTCGCAGTCGACAAGACTGAATTATGCAGAATACGCAGTTACTTGCATTCAATTCTTGATGTACATTTTTTGGTCTGTTATTTTTTTTGCCTACCTAGAATGTTGAGATTCCTGTGTAATGAATAGGTGCTAACTCAAAATCAACATCAAAGTTGATTTGTCACGTGCACAGGATACTGCAGGTGTAAACAGTACAGTGAAATGCTGTGATTTAATTTGTATGTGTTATTATTAAAGGTGATCAGCAGCGAGTACGACAGCGACAGTCTGGTGAACGATGACGAGGGCGTTGTGGCTGCCACCAAGTGTCTGAAGGTATGGGACTTTCTTTATTTACATGTTAGTCATTTATCAGACACTCTTATCCAGAGCGACTTACAGTTATTGCATTCATCTTAAGGTAGCTAGGTGAGACAACCACATTTTAACATTTTACTTAACTTTTAAAGCACTGCAGTTCACAGCCTTGCTCCCTCTAATCTGACAGACATACAACCAAGGAGTTGGTCTATAACTATACCTAGGGTTAGAACCAAGGAGTTGGTCTATAACTATACCTAGGGTTAGAACCAAGGAGTTGGTCTATAACTATACCTAGGGTTAGAACCAAGGAGTTGGTCTATAACTATACCTAGGGGTTAGAACCAAGGAGTTGGTCTATAACTATACCTAGGGTTAGAACCAAGGAGTTGGTCTATAACTATACCTAGGGTTAGAACCAAGGAGTTGGTCTATAACTATACTAGGGTTAGAACCAAGGAGTTGGTCTATAACTATACCTAGGGTTAGAACCAAGGAGTTGGTCTATAACTATACCTAGGGTTAGAACCAAGGAGTTGGTCTATAACTATACCTAGGGTTAGAACCAAGGAGTTGGTCTATAACTATACCTACTGTGTCTTCAGAAAATATTCACACCCCTTTACTTTTTCCACATTTTGTTGTGTTACAGCCTTAATTTAAAATGGATTAAATTGAGATTTTGTCTCACTGGCCAACACACTACCCCATAATGTCAGTGGAATTAATTTTTCATTTTTTTAAACAAATTAATTAAAAATGAAAAGCTGAAATATTTTGAGTCAATACGTTTTCAACCCTTTTGTTATGGCAAGCCTAAATAAGTTCAGGAGTAAAAATTTGCTTAACAAGTCACATAATAAGTTGCATGGACTCACTCTGTGTGCAATAATAGTGTTTAACATGATTTTTGAATGACTACCTCATCTCTGTACCCCACATATACAATTATCTGTAAGGTCCCTCAGTCGAGCAATGAATTTCAAACACAGATTCACCCACAAAGCCCAGGGAGGTTTTCCAATGCCTCTCAAAGAAGGGCTCCTATTGGTAGATGGGTAAAAATAAAAATAAAAGCAGACATTGAATATCCCTTTGAGCATGGTGAAGTTATTAATTACACTTTGGATGGTGTATCAATACACACAGTCACTACAAAGATACAGGCGTCCTTCCTAACTCAGTTGTCGGAGAGGAAGGAAACCGCTCAGGGATTTCACCATGAGGCCAATGGTGACTTTAAAACAGTTACAGAGTTTAATGGCTGTGATAGGAGAAAACTGAGGATGGATCAACAACATTGTAGTTACTCCACAATACTAACCTAAATGACTGAGTGAAAAGAAGGAAGCCTGTACAGAATACAAATATTCCAAAACATGCATCCTGTTTGCAATAAGGCACTACAGTAAAACAGCAAAAAAATATGTCAAAGAAATGAACTTTTATGTCCTGAATACAAAGCTTTCTGTTTGGGGCAAATCCAACACAACACATTGAGTACCACTTCATATTTTCAAGCATGATGGTGGCTGCATCACGTTATGGGAATGCTTGTCATCTGCAAGGACTAGGGAGTTTTTTAGGATAAAAAGAAACTGAATAGAGCACAGGCGAAATTCATTCCAAAGCTGTTTGATTGGGTTAAGGTCATGGCTCTGTGCAGGCCAGTCAAGTTCTTCCACACCGATCTCAACAAACAATTTCTGTATGGACCTCTCTTTGTGCATTGTCATGCTGAAACAGGAAAGGGCCTTCCCCAAACTGTTGCCACGAAGTTGGAAGCACAGAATCGTCTAGAATGTCATTGTATGCTGTAGTATTAAGATTTCCCTTCACTGGAACTAAGGGGCCTAGCCCGAACCATGAAAAACAGCCCCAGACCATTATTCCTCCTCCACCAAACTTTACAGTTGTCACTATGCATTGGGGCAGGTAGATTCGTCTGTCGGACTGCCAGATGGTGAAGCGTGATTCAGCATTCCAGAGAACGTGTTTCCACTGCTCCGGATGTCCAATAGTGGCGAGCTTTATACCACTCCAGCTGATGCTAGGCATTTCGCATGGTGATCTTAGGCTTGTGTGCGGCTGCATAAAGCTCCCGACGAACAGTTCTTGTGCTGACGTTTCTTTCAGAGGCAGTTTGGTACTCGGTAGTGACTGTTGCAACTGAGGACAGATTATTTTTACGTGCTTCAGCACTCGGCGGTCCCGTTCTGTGAGCTTGTGTGGCCTACCACTTCACGGCTGAGCCGTTGTTGCTCCTAGATGTTTCCACTTCACAATAACAGCACTTACAGTTGACCGGGGCAGCTCTAGCAGGGCAGAAATGTGACGAACTGACTTTTTGGAAAGGTGGCATCCTATGATGGTGCCACGTTGAAAGTCACTGAGCTCTTCAGTAGGGTCCATTCTACTGCCAATGTTTGTCCATGGAGATTGCATGGCTGTGTGCTCGATTTTATACACCTGTCAGCAACAGTGTGGCTGAAATAGAATCCACTCATTTGAAGGGGTGTCCACATACCTTTGTGTGTGTATATATAGTGTACACTGGATTTGTTTACCAAGATGACATTGAATGTTCTTGAGTTGCCTAGTTACAATTTTGACTTAAATCGGCTTGAAATTCTATGGCAAGACTTGAAAATTGCTGTCTAGCAATGATCAACAACCAACTTGACAGATCTTGAAGAATTTAAAAAAGAATAATGTGCAAATATTGTTCAACCAGGTGTGGAAAGCTCTTAGAGACTTACCCAGAAAGACTCACAGCTGTAATCGCTGCCAAATTTGATTTTAACATGTATAGACTCAGGGGTGTAAAATACTTATGTAAATTAGGTATTTCTGTATTTCATTTTCAATACATTTGCTATAATTTCTAAAAACAAGTTTTCACTTTGTCATTTTTGGGTATGGTGTGTAGATGGGTGAGGGGGAAAACAACAACAATTTAATCAATTTTAAATTCAGGCTGTAACAAAAAAGGGGTGTGAATACTTTCTGAAGACACTAGGTGTAGAACCAAGGCCGGGAAAATCCTTTATCATGATTTAGCCCCACAGCTATGGGTCGATGGTAAGAGGGGCAGACACAGTCAAGGTTTTTAAATCACGTTTGCCTTTTTAGTTTTTAATAAATTATTTTACTGTAATTTTAGCTTTTTCTTTACATCAACGATTTCACAATTATTTGAGACATTTTATAGTTGTAATTGTATTGTTTTACTGTAAAGTGTGTTGTGATTTTAAATGCACTACAAAATAATGTTTGATTCTGTTTGAAGCTGGTGTTCTACGCCAACGTGCTGGGAGGTGACCTCGATACGGGCCACAACGAAGAGGAGGTATGAAATGTTGTGGCTGGAGCAGCCTACTAATGTTTATTATCTAATAAACTAGAAAGGTATTTGTCCATGAAGAGAAGTTGTGTGACTTGGTTTAACTGTTTTGGTAGCCCTTTCCACTTCAATACGGATTGAAAATGGCAGATTTCGTCTTGACTGATAACCGTTATAAATTTGAGCACAGCACGCAACAAGAAGTTGCCACCATCCCTCACACTAATTGGGCTACTTTTTCACATTTGTTGTTGTCTGATTGAGGTAAATGCTGTAAATAGAGAGGGAGAGGATGTGTTCTGACGTGAGACTCTGAGATCGTAATGAGGGAGAATTGTGGATGGACATATGCAAATGGAGGGAGGATGTGTTTACGATGAGATCTGTAAATGAGAGGAGGTGTTTTCTGACCGATGAGACCTGAGGATGCTCAACTAAGGCTAGAGGAGGGTTTGATTCAGATGATGACCTGAGGATGCTGTAATGGAGGGGAGAGGATGTGTTCTGACCGCTGAGACTGACTCGATAGAGACGTTGATGTGCTGTAATGGAGATGGAGAGGATGTGTTCTGACCGATGAATGCTGTAATGGAGGGATGGGAGTGTGTTCTGACAGATGAGGATGCTGAGGATCTGTAATGAGGGAAGATGATTTGTTCTGACAGATGAGACGTGAGGATGCTGTGAATGGAGGGAGGATGTGTTCTGACCGTGAGACGTTGATGATGTTTAACTGGAGAGGAGAGATGTGTTTGACCGTGAGATGCTTGAAATGGAAGGGGAGAGGATTGTTGGACTGACCGATGAATGCTGTAATGGAGGGAAAGGATGTAGTTCTGACAGAGGATCGTTGAGTGTGTAATGGAGAGGAGAGGATGTGTTCTCAGATTAGACGTGAGAGCTGTGAAATGGAGAGGAAGGTGTGTTCTGACAGATTGAGACGTTGATGATGCTGTAATGGAGAGAGAGGATGTGTTCGACAGATAGATTGCTGAGGATGCTGTTAAATGGAGGGGAGAGGATGATGTTTGACAGATGAGACGTTGAGATGCTGTAAATGAGAGGAGAGGATGTGTTCTACAGTGAGACGTTGAGGATTTGTAAATGAAGGAGGGATGTTTCTGACCGATGGACGTTGAGGATCTGTAAATGGAAGAGAGATGTGTTCAAGATGAGATGCGTAAATGGGGGAGGATGTTCTGACAGATGAGATGCTAGGATGCTGTAATTGAAGAGAGTAGGATGGTTCTACAGATGAACGTTGAGGATGCTTGGTAATGGAGAGGAGAGGAGTGTTCTGACAGATGAACTTTGTTTAGGATGCTGTAACTGAAGGAGGGAGTGTTCTGACCGATGAGACGTGAGATGCCTGAAATGTGAGAGATGGAGTTTCACAGATGGGAGTGAGGTGCTGTAAATGGAGAGGAGAGGTGTTCTGACAGATGACTTTTAGGTTTTTGTAAATGGAGGGAAGAGTTGTTCTTACCATAGACGTTGAGATGCTGAAAATTTGGAAGAGGAGGGAGGTTGACGATGTTTCTGGAGTGGGAGTTGGGATGCGTATGGAGAGGAGAGGATGCTGACCGATGAGACGTGGATGAGAGAAATGGAGATGATGTGTTTTTTCTGACCGATGAGACGTGATGATGCTGTAAATGAGAGGAGAGGATGTGTCTGATTGTTGGGATGCTGTAATGGAGGGAGAGGAGTGTTTGACCGATGAGACGTGAGGATGCTGTAAATGGAGAGGAGAGATGTGTTCTGATCTGACAGATGAGAACGTTGATGATTATAATAAATACTGCTTTGATGTCATACAAGCAAACCAAACACCCATGAGTCCAAATGTGCGCTTCACATTTCCACATCTGAAAACTCATGTCATTTACAGGATCAACGTTTATGATCGCTATGTTTGATCCACAGTTACAAGGATGACTTGTTATACCCTGGGTTGCCCTGAACAGAATGAGCCTGTTTGTCGTATTGGGAAGTAAATTATCTGCAGAACACGCACTTCAATGCACTAATGACCAAAATTACAATCTATTTGTCTGAAGTGCCTTTTGAAAGCCCTATTTGGGACTAGTATTAGGCAAGTAGCCTTGGCTTGTGTGAGCCGGAACGGCTCGTAGGGCAGGAGCCGATCTCCTGTTTCTGTAGGGTGAGGCAGCTTGATGTACAGTACACCCCCTGGACAGGACGCCAGTCTATCGTAGGTCCTTACCCCCAAATCTATCTCCTTAATGCTGAGTGCCAAGCAGAGACACATCAGGTCCCATTTTTACAGTCTTTGGATATGACTCTGCCCGGGATTGAACTCATAACCTTCCCAGTCTCAGGACACTTTAACCACAAGGCCACTGAGTTGGTTATAGAATGTGGGTTATGTAATTATTACCCCAGCATGTCCGTTCTTCCGGTAGACGATTCGGACGGGATTAGTTTGATCTAATTGCCGCTGTAATTCTTCTTTTTTTTTTTTCCTCATTCAAAATGTACTGTTATGACGGAAGCCTGGAGGCTCTTCTAGGCATGAAGATATTCAGATGTCTAGGAATAACCTAATATTGGCCTTCAGTTCAGATGTCTAGGGATAACCTAATATTGGCCTTCAGTTCAGATGTCTAGGGATAACCTAATATTGGCCTTCAGTTCAGATGTCTAGGGATAACCTAATTTTGGCCTTCAGTTCAGAGTCTAGGGTAACCCAATATTGCCTTCAGTTCAGAGTAGGGATAACCTAAGGATTGCCTCCAGTTAGTGCCTCTCATCAGGAAACCTAATTGGCCTTCAGTCAGATGTCTGGGAAACCTATATGGCCTTCAGTTCAGACTCGGATAACCTAAATTGCCTTCAGTTCATGTCTAGGAACCTATATTGGCCTTCAGTCATCTAGGGAAACCTAATATTGGCCTTCAGTTCAGATGTCTAGGGAACCTAATATTGCTTAGTTCAGATGTCTAGGGAACCTATGATGGCCTCAGTTCAGATTCTAGGATACCTAAAGCCCTTCAGTTCAGAGGTGTGGCCTAAGGGACACAGTTAGACCTCTCACTCAAACCCACAGTTAGGAGACACCGAGTTGCCACTAGCACAACCCAGTTAGTAGACCCTTAGTCCTCCAAAACCCACAGTTAGGAGAGGTGTGGCCACCTGGAGACACCAGTTAGCCTCTCACTCAAACCCACAGTTAGGAGAGGTGTGGCCACCTGGAGACACCAGTTAGAACCTCTCACTCAAACCCACAGTTAGGAGAGGTGTGGCCACCTGGAGACACCAGTTAGACTCTCACCAAACCCACAGTTAGGAGAGGTGTGGCCACCTGGAGACACCAGTTAGACCTCTCACCCAAACCCACAGTTAGGAGAGGTGTGGCCACCTGGAGACACCAGTTAGACCTCTCACTCAAACCCACAGTTAGGAGAGGTGTGGCCACCTGGAGACACCAGTTAGACCTCTCACTCAAACCCACAGTTAGGAGAGGTGTGGCCACCTGGAGACACCAGTTAGTCCTCTCACTCAAACCCACAGTTAGGAGAGGTGTGGCCACCTGGAGACACCAGTTAGACCTCTCACTCAAACCTTTGTAATAGTATTTTATTATCTTGTACCTACTCCAAAAGTTCAATGAATATTCTTATTATGTTACTGAATGTATCCAGAGTATTTTCAGATTTCGTTATCAACAAATGCTGTGAAAAGTACAGTAAATGTAAAATGCACATCAAATCAACAGTGTAATGTTTGGATCCAGTCTTGTGTCAGGTGACCTGTTGTGTCCTCACCTTGGGTCTAATAATTTCCCCCATAATCTCCAAACTGTTCCCTTTCGATTGCTACCACGGTCATGTGGTTCTTCTGTAAGAAACATTTTACATTTGGCCCTATCCATATAGGTCAATTTCCAGAAGTGTAAGGGGTCAAGTTATTTTTATGCTAGTGGGAGAAGTTTTTAAAAGTGCAAATTGAATCAATCAGGAGGAGGAGCCTCCGTCTGAGTCCAGCGAGCTCACCCTGCAGGAGCTCATGGGGGAGGAGAGGAGGAACAAGAAGGGGCCCCGGGTCGACCCTCTGGAGAAGGTGAGGAGAGACAATGGAAATAAGTTCACTTTCTTTTAAATAAATCACTTTTTCTTTGTGTTCTTAATGAATTTACAGTTCATTCGGAAAGTATTCAGACCCCTTGACTATTTCCACGATTTTTTACGTTACAGCCTTATTCTAAAATGGATAAAAAAATGTTTTCCCCCTCATCAATCTACACACAATACCCCATAATGACAAAGCAAAAACAGGTTTTTAGACATTTTTGCAGATGTATTAAAAATACTAAACTGAAATATCACATTTACATAAGTATTCAGACCCTTTACTCAGTACTTTGTTGAAGCACCTTTGACAGCGGTTACAACCTCGAGTCTTCTTGGGTATGATGCTACAAGCTTGGCACACCTGTATTTGGGGAGTTTCTCCCATTCTTCTCTGCTGATCCTCTCAAGCTCTGTCAGGTTGGATGGGGAGCGTCGCTGCACAGCTATTTTCAGGTCTCTCCAAAGATGTTCGATCGGGATCAAGTCTGGGATCTGGCTGGGCCACTCAAGGACATTCAGAGACTTGTCCCGAAGCCACTCCTGCATTGTTTTAGCTGTGTGCTTAGGGCCGTTGTCCTGTTGGAAGGTGAACCTTCGCCCCAGTCTGAGGTCCTGAGCGCTCTGGAGCAGGTTTTCATCAAGGATCTCTCTGTACTTTGCTCCGTTCATCTTTCCCTCGATCCTGACTAGTCTCCCAGTCGCTGCCGCTGAAAAACATCCACACAACATGCTGCCACCACCATGCTTCACCGTAGGGATGGTGCCAGATTTCCTCCAGACGTGACGCTTGGCATTCAGGCCAAAGAGTTGAATCTTGGTTTCATCAGACCAGAGAATCTTGTTTCTCATGGTCTGAGAGTCCTTTAGGTGCCTTTTGGCAAATTCCAAGCGGGCTGTCATGTGCCTTTTTACTGAGGAGTGGCTTCCGTCTGGCCACTCTCCCATAAAGGCCTGATTGGTGGAGTGCTGCAGAGATGGTTGTCCTTCTGGAAGGTTCTCCCATCTCCACAGAGGAACTCTGGAGCTTTGTCAGAGTGACCATCGTGTTCTTGGTCACCTCCCTGACCAAGGCCCTTCTCCGCCGATTGCTCAGTTTGGCCGGGCGGGCAGCTCTAGAGTCTTGGTGGTTCCAAACTTCTTCCATTTAAGAATGATGGAGGCCACTGTGTTTTGGCACCCTTCCCCAGATCTGTGCTTTGACACAGTCCTGTCTCGGAGCACTACGGACAATTCCTTCGAACTCATGGCTTGGTTTTTGCTCTGACATGCACTGTCAACAGTGGGACCTTATATAGACAGGTGTGTGCCTTTCCAAATCATGTCCAATCGATTGAATTGACCACAGATGGACTCCAATCAAGTTGTAGAAACATCTCAAGGATGATCAATGGAAACAGGATGCACCTGAGCTCAATTTAGAGTCTCATAGCAAAGGGTCTTAATACTTATGTAAATAAATGCAAGCATTTCTAAAAACCTGTTTTCACTTTGTCATTATGGGCTATTGTGTGTAGATTGATGAGGGGGAAAAAATAATTTCATCCATTTTAGAATAAGGCTGTAACGTAACAAAACGTTGGAAAGTCAAGGGGTCTCAATACTTTCCAAATGCACTGTAAAATACTTTTGTGTTATCCTCAATGATTGAAATACTTTGTTATCCACAATAATTTAAATACTTTGTGTTAACCACATGGATTTTAAAAGCATTGTATCCACGCGTGGTTGATATGTTTTTAAAATGATCAAATCAAAAGGAGCTGGGCGTCAGGACCCTGGACTGCAGGCGACCCCTCATTCCCTTCGAGGAGTTTGTCAACGAGCCGCTAAACGATGTTCTAGAGATGGACAAGGACTTCACCTTCTTCAAGGTGGACTCCGAGAGCAAGTTCTCCTTCCAGACCTGCCCATTCATCCTCAACGCCTGCACAAAGAGCCTGGGTCTTTACTACGACAACCGCATCAGTATGTACAGCGAGAGGAGGATCACAGCCCTCTACAGCCTGGTGCAGGGACAGCAGCTCAACCCATACCTCCGGCTCAAAGTACGGCGAGACCACATCATAGACGACGCCCTCGTGAGGGTGAGTCATAAACAACACACACACACACACACACACACACACACACACACAAACACACACACACACACAAACACATATATATATATATATATATATATACAGGTAAAAGTCAGTAAATTAGAATATTTTGAAAAACTTGATTTATTTCAGTAATTGCATTCAAAAGGTGTAACTTGTACATTATATTTATTCATTGCACACAGACTGATGCATTCAAATGTTTATTTCATTTAATTTTGATGATTTGAAGTGGCAACAAATGAAAATCCAAAATTCCGTGTGTCACAAAATTAGAATATTACTTAAGGCTAATACAAAAAAGGGATTTTTTAGAAATGTTGGCCAACTGAAAAGTATGAAAATGAAAAATATGAGCATGTACAATACTCAATACTTGGTTGGAGCTCCTTTTGCCTCAATTACTGCATTAATGCGGCGTGGCATGGAGTCGATGAGTTTCTGGCACTGCTCAGGTGTTATGAGAGCCCAGGTTGCTCTGATAGTGGCCTTCAACTCTTCTGCGTTGTTGGGTCTGGCATTCTGCATCTTCCTTTTCACAATACCCCACAGATTTTCTATGGGGCTAAGGTCAGGGGAGTTGGCTGGCCAATTTAGAACAGAAATACCATGGTCCGTAAACCAGGCACGGGTAGATTTTGCGCTGTGTGCAGGCGCCAAGTCCTGTTGGAACCTGAAATCTCCATCTCCATAGAGCAGGTCAGCAGCAGGAAGCATGAAGTGCTCTAAAACTTGCTGGTAGACGGCTGCGTTGACCCTTGATCTCAGGAAACAGAGTGGACCGACACCAGCAGATGACATGGCACCCCAAACCATCACTGATGGTGGAAACTTTACACTAGACTTCAGGCAACGTGGATCCTGTGCCTCTCCTGTCTTCCTCCAGACTCTGGGACCTCGATTTCCAAAGGAAATGCAAAATTTGCTTTCGTCAGAAAACATGACTTTAGACCACTCAGCAGCAGTCCAGCTCTTTTTTTCCTTAGCCCAGGTGAGACGCTTTTCGCGCTGTTTCTTGGTCAACAGTGGCTTGACACGAGGTATGCGGCAGTTGAAACCCATGTCTTTCAAGCGTCTCTTGGTGGTGGATCTTGAAGCCCTGACTCCAGCAGCTGTCCACTCCTTGTGAATCTCCCCCACATTTTTGAATGGGTTTTTTTTCACAATCTTGACTAGGGCGCGGTGATCCCTATCGCTTGTACACTTTTTCTGACCACAGTTTTTCCTTCCCTTTGCCTCTCTATTAATGTGTTTGGACACAGAGCTCTGAGAACAGCCAGCCTCTTCTGCAATAACCTTTTGTGTCTTTCCCTCCTTGTGCAATGTGTCGATGGTCGCCTTTTGGACAGCTGTCAAATCTGAAGTCTTCCCCATGTTTGTGTAGGCTTCAGAACTGGACTGAGAGACCATTTAAAGCCCTTTGCAGGTGTTTTGAGTTAATCAGCTGATTATTTTGTGGCACCAGGTGTCTTCAAAATGTAACCCTTACACAATATTCTAATTTTGTGACACACGGAATTTTGGATTTTCATTTGTTGCCACTTCAAATCATCAAAATTAAATGAAATAAACATTTGAATGCATCAGTCTGTGTGCAATGAATAAATATAATGTACAAGTTACACCTTTTGAATGCAATTACTGAAATAAATCAAGTTTTTCAAAATATTCTAATTTACTGACTTTTACCTGTATATATATACAGTTGAAGTCTGAAGTTTACATACACCTTAGCCAAATACGTTTAAACTCAGTTTTTCACAATTCCTGACATTTAATCCTAGTAAAGATTCCCTGTCTTAGGTCAGTTAGGATCACCACTTTATTTTAAGAATGTGAAATGTCAGAATAATACTAGAGTGATTTATTTCAGCTTTTATTTCTTTCATCACATTCCCAGTGGGTCAGAAGTTTACATACACTCAATTAGTATTTGGTAGCATTGCCTTTAAATTGTTTAACTTGGGTCAAACGTTTCGGGTAGCCTTCCACAAGCTTCCCACAATAAGTTCGGTGAATTTTGGCCCATTCGTCCTGACAGAGCTGGTGTAACTGAGTCAGGTTTGTAGGCCTCCTTGCTCGCACACGCCTTTTCAGTTCTGCCCAAACATTTTCTATAGGATTGAGGTCAGGGCTTTGTGATGGCCACTCCAATACCTTGACTGTGTTGTCCTTAAGCCATTTTGCCACAACTTTGGAAGTATGCTTGGGGTCATTGTCCATTTGGAAGACCCATTTGCGACCAAGCTTTAACTTCCTGACTGATGTCTTGAGATGTTGCTTCAATATATCCACATCATTTTCCTTCCTCATGATGCCATCCATTTTGTGAAGTGCACCAGTCCCTCCTGCAGCAAAGCAACCCCACAGCATGATGATGCCACCCCCGTGCTTCACGGTTGGGATGGTGTTCTTCGGCTTGCAAGCGTCCCCCTTTTTCCTCCAAACATAACGATGGTCATTATGGCCAAACAGTTCTATTTTGTTTCATCAGACCAGAGGACATTTCTCCAAAAAGTACGATCTTTGTCGCAATGTGCAGTTGAAAACCGTAGTCTGGCTTTTTTATTGCGGTTTTGGAGCAGTGGCTTCTTCCTTGCAGAGCGGCCTTTCAGGTTATGTCGATATAGGACTCGTTTTACTGTGGATATAGATACTTTTGTACCTGTTTCTTCCAGCATCTTCACAAGGGCCTTTGCTGTTGTTCTGGGATTGATTTGCACTTTTCGCACCAAAGTACGTTAATCTCTAGGAGACAGAACACGTCTCCTTCCTGAGCAGTATGACGGCTGCGTGGTCCCATGGTGTTTATACTTGCGTACTATTGTTTGTACAGATGAACGTGGTACCTTCAGGTGTTTGGAAATTGCTCCCAAGGATGAACCAGACTTGTGGAGGTCTACAATTGTTTTTCGGAGGTCTTGGCTGATTTTCTTTTGATTTTCCAATGATGTCAAGCAAAGAGGCACTGAGTTTGAAGGTAGGCCTTGAAATACATCCACAGTAAACCTCCAATTGACTCAAATGATGTCAATTAGCCTATCAGAAGCTTCTAAAGCTATGACATCATTTTCTGGAATTTTCCAAGCTGTTTAAATGCACAGTCAACTTAGTGTATGTAAACTTCTGACCCACTAGAATTGTGATACAGTGAATTATAAGTGAAATAATCTGTCTGTAAACAATTGTTGGAAAAATTACTTGTGTCATGCACAAAGTAGATGTCCTAACCGACTTGCCAAAACTATAGTTTGTTAACAAGACATTTGTGGAGTGGTTGAAAAACGAGTTTGAATGATTCCAACCTAAGTGTATGTAAACTTCCCACTTCAACTGTACATGTCTATGACTATATACATAGGGCAGCAGCATCTAAGGTGCAGGGTTGAGTAGCCGGCTAGTGACAGTGACTAAGTTCAGGGTACAGGGTGGAAGCCGGCTAGTGATGGCTATTTAACAGTCTGATGGCCTTGAGATAGAAGCTGTTTTTCAGTCTCTCGGTCCCAGCTGTAAATGTCTTCGAGGGCAGTGTGCCCCCGGTGATGTGTTGGGCAGACCGCACCACCTTCTGGAGAGCCCTGCGGTTGCGGGCGGTGCAGTTGCCGTACCAGGCGGTGATACAGCCCGATGCTCTCAATGGTGCATCTGTAAATGGTTGTGATGGTCTTAGGGGCCAAGCTGAATTTCTTTTAGCCACCTGAGGTTGAAGAGGCGCTGCTGCACCTTCTTCACCACGCTGTCTGTGTGGGTGGACCATTTCAGATTGTCAGTGATGTGTACGCCGAGGAACTTGAAGCTTTTGTCCCTCTACACTGCGGCCCTTTGTTTTGTTGATGTTGAGGGAGAGGTTATTTTCCTGGCACCACCCTGCCAGGGCCTTCACCACCTCCCTATAGGCTGTCTCGTCATTGTTGGTAATCAAGCCTACTACTGTTGTGTCGTCTGCAAACTTGATGATTGAGTTGGAGGCGTGCTTGGCCATGCAGTCATGGGTGAACAGGGAGTACAGGAGGGGGCTGAGCACTCACCCTTGTGGGGCCCCAGTGTTGAGGATCAGCGAAGTGGAGATGTTCACTACCTGGGGGCGGCCCGTCAGGAAGTCCAGGACCCAGCTGCACAGGGCGGGGTTCAGACCCAGGGCCCCGAGCTTAATGATGAGCTTGGAGGGGACAATGGTGTTGAAGGCTGAGCTATAGTCAATGAACAACATTCTGACGTAGGTATTCCTTTTGTCCAGATGGGATAGGGCAGTGTGCAGTGTGATGGCGATTGCATCATCCGTGGATCTGTTGGGGCGGTATGCAAATTGAAGTGGGTCTAGGGTGTCAGGTAAGGTAGAGGTGATATGATCCTTGACTAGCCTCTCAAAGCACTTCATGATTACAGAAGTGAGTGCTACTGATAGTCATTTAGTTCAGTTACCTTCGCTTTCTTGGGTACAGCAACAATTGTGGACATCTTGAAGCAAGTGGGGACAGCAGACTGGGAAAGGGAGAGATTGAATATGTCCATAAACACTCCAGCCAGCTGGTCTGCGCATGCTCTGAGGACGCGACTAGGGATGCCGTCTGGGCCGGCAGCCTTGCGAGGGTTAACGCGCTGAAATGTCTTACTCACATTGGCCACAGAGAACGAGAGCCCACAGTCCTCTTGAGCGGGCCACGTCGTTGGCACTGTGTTATCCTCAAAGCGAGTGAAGAAGGTGTTTAGCTTGTCTGGGAGCGAGACGTCGGTGTCGGCGACGTGGCTGGTTTTCCCTTTGTAGTCCGTGATTGTCTGTAGACCCTGCCACTGACGTCTTGTATCTGAGCTATTTAATTGCGACTGCACTTTGTTTCTGTACTGACGTTTTGCCCGTTTGATTGCCTTACGGAGGGAAAGAATAACTACATTGTTTTATATTCAACCATATTCCCAGTCACCTTGCTGTGGTTTGCGCTTTCAGTTTTGCTGCCATCTATCCACAGTTTTTGATTTGGATAGGTTTTAATCGTCACAATTGGAACAACATCCCCTATACACTTCCCAATGAACTCCGTCATTGTGTTACGTCAATGTTATTCTCAGAGGTGACCCGGAACGTATCCCAGTCCGCGTGATCAAAACAATCTTGAAGCATGGATTCCGATTGGTCAGACCAGCGTTGAATAGATATTAGCACGGATAATTCTTGTTTGAGTTTCTGCCTATAGGAAGGGAGGAGCAGAATTAAGTCATGATCCGATTTGCCGAAGGGAGATCGGGGATAGGGCCTTGTAGCCATCCCGGAAGGGAGAGTAACAATGTTCGAGAGTTTTTGAAGCACGAGTACTACAGGCAATGTGTTGATAGAACTTCGGTAGTGTTTTCCTCAGATTTACTTTGTTAAAGTCCCCAGCTACCATAAATGCGGCCTCAGGATATACAGTTTCCAGTTTGCACAATGTCCTGTGTAGTTCCTTGAGCGCCGTTGTGGTGTCGGCTTGAGGGGGAATATACACAGCTGTGACGATGACCGAAGATAATTATCTCGGGAGGTGAGGACTCTGCGGTCGGTATTTGATTGAGGTATTCTAGGTCGGGTGAATAAAAGGACTTGAGTTCCTGTACGTTACCACAATCACACCATGAGTAGTTAATCATGAAACATACACCTCCGCATTTCTTCTTTCCGGAGAGTTCTTTATTCCTGTCTGCGAGATGTACTGGACGGGGACAGTATATTAGGAGAGAGCCATGATTCCGTGAAACAGAGCATGTTACAGTCCCTGATGTCTCTCTGGAAGGAGATCCTCGCCCTGAGCTCGTCTACTTTATTGTCCAGGGACTTAACATTAGCGAGTAATATACTCGGAAGCGGTGGAAGTCCACTCCGAATACCTCTTCTCTGCCGGTGGCGTCTTGGAGCAGCCTCTGGGATAAGTTCAAGCGCCTTGGGGGGTACGAACAAAGGATCCAATTCAGGAGAGTCGTATTTCTGTTCGAAATGCAGGTGAGTTAGCACCGCTCTGATATCCAAAAGTGATTTCCGTCTGTATGTAAAAAACGCATAAAAAATTCTGGGTTAATAATGTAAGAAATAACAACAACTAAAAGACTTCATCTGTCTTAATGATTTCATCAGACAAGCTCAGTGCATATAGTTGATTAGATTAAAACACATAGGATGTGTCAATATATGGAAAAATACACATTTTAAATGTCTACCAATCGATTGGTCGAAAGAACAGACTACTCTCGGTCGACCAAGACCAGGCTGGTGCTATGGTTCCTCTGTCTAACTGTCTTAATCCTCCTAACCTGCTTTCTGTGTCCTACAGTTGGAGATGATCGCCATGGAGAACCCAGCGGACCTGAGAAAGCAGCTGTTTGTGGAGTTTGAAGGAGAGCAGGGCGTCGACGAGGGAGGGGTGTCCAAAGAGTTCTTCCAGCTGGTGCTGGAGGAGATGTTCAACCCTGATATTGGTGAGATGTTCAACTCTGATATTGGTGAGATGTTCAACTCTGATATTGGTGAGATGTTCAACCCTGATATTGGTGAGATGTTCAACTCTGATATTGGTGAGATGTTCAATTCTGATATTGGTGAGATGTTCAACCCTGATATTGGTGATATGTTCAACCCTGATATTGGTGATGTTCAACCCTGATATTGGTGAGATGTTCAATCCTGATATTGGTGAGCTGTTCAATCCTGATATTGGTGAGATGTTCAACCCTGATATTGGTGAGATGTTCAACCCTGATATTGGTGAGATGTTCAACCCTGATATTGGTGAGATGTTTAACCCTGATATTGGTGAGATGTTCTGCTTGGAATGTTAAGGCTTTGCGTTATACATGCTGTTATATGTAAGCCAAAGACACATTTCTATATACAGTGCAATCGGAAAGTACATAACAGCCTTATTCTAAAATAGATAAAATACTTTTTTTCACTCATCAATTTACATACAATACCAAATAATGATAAAGCGAAAACAAGTTTTTAGAAATATTTGCAAATGTAAAAAAATTATAGATACCTTATTTGCATAAGTATTCAGACCCTTTGCTATGAGACTCGATATTGAGCTCAGATGCATCCTGTTTCCATTGTTCATCCTTGAGATGTTTCTACAACTTGATTGGAGTGCACCTGTGGTACATTTAAATTGATTGGACATGATTTGGAAAGGCACACACCTGTCTATATAAGGTCCCACAGTTGACAGTGCATGTCAGAGCAAAAACCAAGCCATGAGGTCGAAGGAATTGTCCGTAGAGCTCTGAGACAGGATTGTGTTGAGGCACAGATCTGGGGAAGGGTACCAAAAAATGTCTACAGCATTGAAGTTCCCCAAGGACACAGTGGCCTCCATCATTCTTAAATGGAAGAAGTTTGGAACCACCGAGACTCTTCCTAGAGCTGGCCACCCGGCCAAACTGAACAATCGGGGGAGAAGGGCTTGGGTCAGGGAGGTGACCAAGAACCCGATGGTCACTCTGGCAGAGCTCTAGAGTTCCTCTGTGGAGATGGGAGAACCTTCCAGAAGGACAAACATCTCTGCAGCACTCCACCAATCAGGCCTTTATGGTACAGTGGCCAGACGGAAGCCACTCCTCAGTAAAAAGCATATGACAGTCCGCTTGGAAACAAGATTCTCTGGTCTGATGAAACCAAGATTCAACTCTTTGGCCTGAATGCCAAGAGCCACGTCTGGAGGAAACCTGGCACCATCCCTACGGTGAAGCATGGTGGTGGCAGCATCATGCTGTGGGGATGTTTTTCAGTGGCAGCGACTGGGAGACTAGTCAGGATCGAGGCAAAGATGAACAGAGCAAAGTACAGAGAGATCCTTGATGAAAACCTGCTCCAGAGCGCTCAGGACCTCAGACTGGGGCGAAGGTTCACCTTCCAACAGGACAACGACCGTAAACACACAGCCAAGACAACGCAGGAGTGGCTTCGGGACAAGTCTCTGAATGTCCTTGAGTGGCCCAGCCAGAGCCCGGACTTGAACCCGATCGAACATCTCTGGAGAGACCTGAAAATAGCTGTGCAGCGACGCTCTCCATCCAACCTGACAGAGCTTGAGAGGATCTGCAGAGAAGAATGGGAGAAACTCCCCAAATACAGGTGTGCCAAGCTTGTAGCGTCATACCCAAGAAGACTCGAGGCTGTAATCGCTGCCAAAGGGGCTTCAACAAAGTACTGACTAAAGGGTCTGAATACTTACGTAAATGTGTTATTTCAGATTGTTATTTTTAATACATTTGCAAAAATGTCTAAAAACCTGTGTTTGCTTTGTCATTGAGTTATTGTGTGTAGATTGATGAGGGTGGGAAAACAATTTAATCAATTTTAGAATAAGGCTGTAACGTAACAAAATGTGGAAAAAGTCAAGGGATATGAATACTTTCCGAATGCACTGTATGTAAAGCCAAAGACACATTTCTATAAAAAAAATATTTTGACGTTTTAAACTTGAACTTAATATTCACAAACAAATTGTCCATCTGTGGTCACGGTATTAATGTCCAGTGGTCCTTCCCTCCCTCCTCCAGGTATGTTTACGTATGATGAGTCCACCAAGCTGTTCTGGTTCAACCCGTCCTCTCTGGAGAACGAGGCCCAGTTCTCCCTGATAGGCATCGTCCTGGGCCTGGCCATCTACAACAACTGCATCCTGGATGTTCACTTTCCCATGGTGGTCTACAGGAAACTGATGGGGAAGAAAGGCACCTATCTGGACCTGGCAGACTCACACCCGGTACTGGAACATGCTGAAATATGTTTTAAATGTCATTTTTAATAGATCTATGTCATTTAAAGAGTGTTTCAGGTTAGACAACTACTACAAGGACTCAGTATTCTATTTTGATTAAAAACCTTCTAAATACATAATATAGCATCTGTATCCCTGTTAAATACATATTAATATAGCATCTGTATCCCTGTTAAATACATATTAATATAGCATCTGTATCCCTGTTAAATACATATTAATATAGCTTAATATAGCATTTGTATCCCTGTTAAATACATATTAATGTAGCATCTGTATCCCTGTTAAATACGTATTAATATAGCATCTGTATCCCTGTTAAATACATATTAATGTAGCATCTGTATCCCTGTTAAATACATATTAATATAGCATCTGTATCCCTGTTAAATACATATTAATATAGCATCTGTATCCCTGTTAAATACGTATTAATATAGCATCTGTATCCCTGTTAAATACATTAATATAGCATCTGTATCCCTGTTAAATACATATTAATATAGCATCTGTATCCCTGTTAAATACATATTAATGTAGCATCTGTATCCCTGTTAAATACGTATTAATATAGCATCTGTATCCCTGTTAAATACGTATTAATATAGCATCTGTATCCCTGTTAAATACATATTAATATAGCATCTGTATCCCTGTTAAATACGTATTAATATAGCATCTGTATCCCTGTTAAATACATATTAATATAGCATCTGTATCCCTGTTAAATACATATTAATATAGCATCTGTATCCCTGTTAAATACATATTAATGTAGCATCTGTATCCCTGTTAAATACGTATTAATGTAGCATGCTTATCCCTGTTAAATACATATTAATATAGCATCTGTATCCCTGTTAAATACATATTAATATAGCATCTGTATCCCTGTTAAATACATATTAATGTAGCATCTGTATCCCTGTTAAATACGTATTAATGTAGCATGCTTATCCCTGTTAAATACATATTAATATAGCATCTGTATCCCTGTTAAATACATATTAATATAGCATCTGTATCCCTGTTAAATACATATTAATGTAGCATCTGTATCCCTGTTAAATACATATTAATATAGCATCTGTATCCCTGTTAAATACGTATTAATATAGCATCTGTATCCCTGTTAAATACGTATTAATATAGCATCTGTATCCCTGTTAAATACATATTAATATAGCATCTGTATCCCTGTTAAATACGTATTAATATAGCATCTGTATCCCTGTTAAATACATATTAATATAGCATCTGTATCCCTGTTAAATACATATTAATATAGCATCTGTATCCCTGTTAAATACATATTAATGTAGCATCTGTATCCCTGTTAAATACGTATTAATGTAGCATGCTTATCCCTGTTAAATACATATTAATATAGCATCTGTATCCCTGTTAAATACATATTAATATAGCATCTGTATCCCTGTTAAATACATATTAATGTAGCATCTGTATCCCTGTTAAATACATATTAATGTAGCATGCTTATCCCTGTTAAATACATATTAATATAGCATCTGTATCCCTGTTAAATACATATTAATATAGCATCTGTATCCCTGTTAAATACATATTAATGTAGCATCTGTATCCCTGTTAAATACATATTAATATAGCATCTGTATCCCTGTTAAATACATATTAATATAGCATCTGTATCCCTGTTAAATACGTATTAATATAGCATCTGTATCCCTGTTAAATACATATTAATATAGCATCTGTATCCCTGTTAAATACATATTAATATAGCATCTGTATCCCTGTTAAATACATATTAATGTAGCATTTTCAAAGATTATAGAACCGTTTTGTGTTGCCCCTTCTGACTATCGATCTTAGTGGGAACTGCTGCTGTGTTGTAGTTGAGATTATTGATTGATTGATTTTATTAGGATCCCCATTAGCTGTTGATCATGCATCATACATCCATTATATTGACTGTTAGCATGTGGTCTCTCCCATTATATTGACTGATAGCCTGTGGTCTCTCCCATTATATTGACTGATAGCCTGTTGTCTCTCCCATTATACTGACTGATAGCATGTGGTCTCTCCCATTATACTGACTGATAGCATGTGGTCTCTCCCATTATATTGACTGATAGCCTGTGGTCTCTCCCATTATATTGACTGATAGCCTGTGGTCTCTCCCATTATATTGACTGATAGCCTGTGGTCTGTTCCATTATACTGACTGATAGCCTGTGGTCTCTCCCATTATACTGACTGATAGCCTGTGGTCTCTCCCATTGTATTGACTGATAGCCTGTGGTCTCTCCCATTATACTGACTGATAGCCTGTGGTCTCTCCCATTATACTGACTGATAGCCTGTGGTCTCTCCTATTATATTGACTGATAGCCTGTGGTCTCTCCTATTATACTGACTGATAGCCGTGGTCTCTCCTATTATATTGACTGATAGCCTGTGGTCTGTTCCATTATATTGACTGATAGCCTGTGGTCTGTTCCATTATATTGACTGATAGCCTGTGGTCTCTCCCATTATATTGACTGATAGCCTGTGGTCTCTCCCATTATACTGACTGATAGCCTGTGGTCTCTCCTATTATATTGACTGATAGCCTGTGGTCTCTCCTATTATACTGACTGATAGCCGTGGTCTCTCCTATTATATTGACTGATAGCCTGTGGTCTCTCCTATTATATTGACTGATAGCCTGTGGTCTCTCCTATTATATTGACTGATAGCCTGTGGTCTCTCCTATTATATTGACTGATAGCCTGTGGTCTGTTCCATTATATTGACTGATAGCCTGTGGTCTCTCCTATTATATTGACTGATAGCCTGTGGTCTCTCCTATTATATTGACTGATAGCCTGTGGTCTCTCCTATTATATTGACTGATAGCCTGTGGTCTCTCCTATTATATTGACTGATAGCCTGTGGTCTCTCCCATTATATTGACTGATAGCCTGTGGTCTCTCCCATTATACTGACTGATAGCCTGTGGTCTCTCCTATTATATTGACTGATAGCCTGTGGTCTCTCCCATTATACTGACTGATAGCCTGTGGTCTCTCCTATTATATTGACTGATAGCCTGTGGTCTCTCCTATTATATTGACTGATAGCCTGTGGTCTCTCCTATTATATTGACTGATAGCCTGTGGTCTCTCCTATTATATTGACTGATAGCCTGTGGTCTCTCCTATTATATTGACTGATAGCCTGTGGTCTGTTCCATTATACTGACTGATAGCCTGTGGTCTGTTCCATTATACTGACTGATAGCCTGTGGTCTCTCCCATTATACTGACTGATAGCCTGTGGTCTCTCCTATTATACTGACTGATAGCATGTGGTCTCTCCCATTATATTGACTGATAGCCTGTGGTCTCTCCCATTATACTGACTGATAGCCTGTGGTCTCTCCCATTATATTGACTGATAGCCTGTGGTCTCTCCCATTGTATTGACTGATAGCCTGTGGTCTCTCCCATTGTATTGACTGATAGCCTGTGGTCTGTTCCATTATACTGACTGATAGCCTGTGGTCTCTCCTATTATACTGACTGATAGCCTGTGGTCTCTCCCATTATACTGACTGATAGCCTGTGGTCTCTCCCATTATACTGACTGATAGCCTGTGGTCTCTCCCATTATACTGACTGATAGCCTGTGGTCTCTCCTATTATATTGACTGATAGCCTGTGGTCTCTCCTATTATATTGACTGATAGCATGTGGTCTGTTCCATTATACTGACTGATAGCCTGTGGTCTCTCCCATTATACTGACTGATAGCCTGTGGTCTCTCCCATTATACTGACTGATAGCCTGTGGTCTCTCCTATTATACTGACTGATAGCATGTGGTCTCTCCCATTATATTGACTGATAGCCTGTGGTCTCTCCCATTATACTGACTGATAGCCTGTGGTCTCTCCCATTATATTGACTGATAGCCTGTGGTCTCTCCCATTGTATTGACTGATAGCCTGTGGTCTCTCCCATTATATTGACTGATAGCCTGTGGTCTCTCCTATTATACTGACTGATAGCCTGTGGTCTCTCCTATTATACTGACTGATAGCCTGTGGTCTCTCCCATTATACTGACTGATAGCCTGTGGTCTCTCCCATTATACTGACTGATAGCCTGTGGTCTCTCCTATTATATTGACTGATAGCCTGTGGTCTCTCCTATTATATTGACTGATAGCATGTGGTCTGTTCCATTATACTGACTGATAGCCTGTGGTCTCTCCCATTATACTGACTGATAGCCTGTGGTCTCTCCTATTATACTGACTGATAGCCTGTGGTCTCTCCCATTATACTGACTGATAGCCTGTGGACTCTCCCATTATACTGACTGATAGCCTGTGGTCTCTCCTATTATATTGACTGATAGCCTGTGGTCTCTCCTATTATATTGACTGATAGCATGTGGTCTGTTCCATTATACTGACTGATAGCCTGTGGTCTCTCACATTATACTGACTGATAGCCTGTGGTCTCTCCCATTATACTGACTGATAGCATGTGGTCTCTCCCATTATATTGACTGATAGCCTGTGGTCTCTCCCATTATACTGACTGATAGCCTGTGGTCTCTCCCATTATATTGACTGATAGCCTGTGGTCTCTCCCATTGTATTGACTGATAGCCTGTGGTCTCTCCCATTATATTGACTGATAGCCTGTGGTCTCTCCCATTATATTGACTGATAGCCTGTGGTCTCTCCCATTATATTGACTGATAGCCTGTGGTCTGTTCCATTATACTGACTGATAGCCTGTGGTCTCTCCCATTATATTGACTGATAGCCTGTGGTCTCTCCCATTATACTGACTGATAGCCTGTGGTCTCTCCTATTATACTGACTGATAGCCTGTGGTCTCTCCCATTATACTGACTGATAGCCTGTGGTCTCTCCCATTATACTGACTGATAGCCTGTGGTCTCTCCCATTATACTGACTGATAGCCTGTGGTCTCTCCCATTATACTGACTGATAGCCTGTGGTCTCTCCCATTATACTGACTGATAGCCTGTGGTCTCTCCCATTATACTGACTGATAGCCTGTGGTCTCTCCCATGCCAGGTTCAGTACCAGAGTCTGAAGGAGCTGCTGGAGTATGAGGGGAACGTGGAGGAGGACATGATGATCACCTTCCAGATCTCACAGACTGACCTGTTTGGAGACCCCATCACTTACGACCTGAGGGAACACGGGGACAAGATACCTGTTAGTGCGGACAATAGGAAGGTGAGATACCTGTTAGTGAGGACAATAGGAAGGTGAGATACCTGTTAGTGACTGAAGTATCTAGTCTATAACAGGACCACTGAAGTATCTAGTCTATCACAGGACCACTGAAGTATCTAGTCTATATCAGGACCACTGAAGTATCTAGTCTATCACAGGACCACTGAAGTATCTAGTCTATATCAGGACCACTGAAGTATCTAGTCTATCACAGGACCACTGAAGTATCTAGTCTATATCAGGACCACTGAAGTATCTAGTCTATATCAGGACCACTGAAGTATCTAGTCTATCACAGGACCACTGAAGTATCTAGTCTATCACAGGACCACTGAAGTATCTAGTCTATCACAGGACCACTGAAGTATCTAGTCTATATCAGGACCACTGAAGTATCTAGTCTATCACAGGACCACTGAAGTATCTAGTCTATATCAGGACCACTGAAGTATCTAGTTATCACAGGACCACGAAGTATCTAGTCTATATCAGGCCACTGAACGTATCTAGTCTATCACAGGACCACTGAAGTATCTAGTCTATCACAGGACCACTGAAAGTATCTAGTCTATAACAGGACCACTGAAGTATCTAGTCTATCACAGGACCACTGAAGTATCTAGTCTATCACCAGGACCACTGAAGTATCTAGTCTATCACAGGACCACTGAAGTATCTAGTCTAATCAGGACCACTGAAGTATCTAGTCTATCACAGGACCACTGAGTATCTAGTCTATATCAGGACCCACTGAAGTATCTAGTCTAATCAGGACCACTGAAGTATCTAGTCTATATCAGGACCACTGAAGTATCTAGTCTATATCAGGACCACTGAAGTATCTAGTCTATCACAGGACCACTGAAGTATCTAGTCTATCACAGGACCACTGAAGTATCTAGTCTATCACAGGACCACTGAGGTATCAAATAAGTTTATACTGTCGAAGTGAATGATGCCATTTATTTTGACTGGTCCTGTCTGTGTGTCTGTGTTCTCCAGGAGTTTGTCTCTCTGTATGGTGATTACATGCTCAATAAGAGTGTGGAGCGCCAGTTCAAAGCCTTCAGAAGGGGCTTCCGGATGGTCACCAACGAGTCGCCGCTCAAGTGTTATTTACACCTGAAGAAGGGACTACTCATCTGGGAAGCAGGTAGCTACTTCTGTGGAAGCAGGGTAAGCTACTTATCTGTGGAGCAGGTAAGCTACGTATCTGTGGAAGCAGGGTAAGCTACGTATCTGTGGAAGCAAGGGTAAGCTCTTATCTGTGGAGCAGGGTAAGCTACTATCTGTGGAAGCAGGGTAAGCTACGTATCTGTGGAAGCAGGGTAAGCTACGTATCTGTGGAAAGCAGGGTAAGCTACGTATCTGTGGAAGCAGGGTAAGCTACGTATCTGTGGAAGCAGGGTAAGCTACGTATCTGTGGAAGCAGGGTAAGCTACGTATCTGTGGAAGCAGGGTAAGCTACGTATCTGTGGAAGCAGGGTAAGCTACGTATCTGTGGAAGCAGGGTAAGCTACTTATCTGTGGAAGCAGTGTAAGCTACGTATCTGTGGAAGTAGGGTAAGCTACGTATCTGTGGAAGCAGGGTAAGCTACGTATCTGTGGAAGCAGGGTAAGCTACGTATCTGTGGAAGCAGGGTAAGCTACTTATCTGTGGAAGCAGTGTAAGCTACGTATCTGTGGAAGCAGGGTAAGCTACTTATCTGTGGAAGCAGTAAGGAAAGTGATCTGAGGCCTGTTCTCAATTATTCTGTCTTCGTTTACTCACTTCCTCTCCTGGTTTCCTTTTCTAAATGATGTGAGGAAGTAGGTCACTGGGATCTTGGCCCTTCTGCTCCAATACGGGTGAGAAGGGGGCAATGAGACGGGAGAATAATAATAAATATTAATATGCCATTTAGCAGACGCTTTTATCCTTGGCGTTACAAGCGCCGTGCTCTACCAGCTGAGCTACAGAGGACCACAGGATGCAAGGTATCACGGAAAGACTGATTTTGAGATTTGAGCCATAGAAAAGGACATTTGGTGTCCGCGTTGGGATCACTGCTTCCTGTTTTCTACACCACCTGATCTAATGTAGCCTGATGTGTTTGTCTCTTGTGTTCAGAATTTAGACTTTCAAGCACTTGAAGAAACGACCGAGTACGACGGCGGCTACAGCAGAGATTGTCGCGTTATTAAGTAAAAACATGTTGTAATTTATCTCCAGAATGACACAGAATGTTAAAATGTTGACATAGATTTTTTTTTTAGTCCAATACATAACTCTATTTCAAAATGTCTCTTTAAAAGATCATATCTGTGGACATTTATTTAATTCGACTCCTGCTCATTCTGATACTGCTGTTGTATTGTTATGTAATGTTGTTATATATATATCATGTTTTATGAAATGTTGTTGTTTATTTCCCCTCTCACAGAGACTTCTGGGAGACGGTGCACTCGTTTGGTGAGGAGGATAAGAGGCTGTTCCTCCAGTTTACTACAGGGACCGACAGAGCACCCGTAGGAGGCCTGGGAAAGCTGAAGATGATCATCGCCAAGAACGGCCCCGACACAGACAGGTGAGACCAGGGGGTGCATCCCAAATGGCTCCCTATTCCCTATATAGTGCACTACCATAAGGCTCTGGTCTAAAGTAGTGCACTATGTAGGGAATAGGGTGCCATTTGGGACAGAGTCCTGTTTCAATGGGGCCTCCCAGACGACTTGGACAGATCTATAATCTCGCCTCTCCTCTCTCATCTCCCCCATCTCCTCGCACTCTCTCTCTCCCCCCTCTCTCTCGCTCCCTCTCCTCCACCTCTCTCTCTACCCTATGCTCTCTCTCTCACTACCTCCCGTCTCGCTCTTCTCATCTCTCTCTGTCTCCCCACTCTCATCCCACCTTCTCTCACGCTCTCTCTCCCCATCTCTCTCTCCCATCTCTCTCCCTCTCTCTCTCTCTCCCCCTGTCGCTCTTCTCTCCCCCCATCTCTCTGTCTCTCCCCCATCTCCTGTCCTCCCCTCCTCTCCTACTCTCTTCTCCCCCCCTCTCCTCTCTCTCTCTCTCCCCCTCCTGCCTCTCTCTCTCCTCTCTCTCCCCATCTCTCGTCTACTCTCTCTCTCCCCCTCTCTCCCCTCCTCCACTCTCTCCCCCTCTCTCTCTCTCCCTCCCTCTCTCTTCGCCCCTCTCTCCCCTCTCCTCCCCTCTCTTTCCCCTCCTCCTCCCCTCTCTCTCTCCCACTCTCTGCTCTCTCTCCCCCTCTCTAGCATCCTCTCTCCTCTCCTTCTCCTCTCTCCCCCTCTTCTCTTCTCTCCCCCCTCTCTCTCTCTCCTCCTCTCCCCCTCTCGCTCTTCTCTCTCTTTATGTCGCCCCCTCCGTCGCTCTCTCTCCGACTCTCTCTTCTCGTCTCCCACCAGGGTTACCTACTGTCTAACCCACAACCGGGGTAATGCTTTGGCTGCTCCCCTGAATATACGATTCGAAGGAGAAGCTGAAGGAGAGACTTCTCAAAGCCATCACTTATGCCAAAGGATTTGGAATGCTGTGACACAAAACAAACAAACTACTCTGAAAAGAAGAAACTTAAATGGTTACACCTTTTTTTATGGAGAAGGAAGGAGTTCTACAACCCAGTGATGCATGAGTTGAAATGAAAAGTGGCATTATGACTGTGTGCCTGAACAGTATCTAGGCTGACACCTTGATCCCCTCAGATCCCAACCTCTCCTTATTTTTCTGGCCGTTTCAAATAGTTTAAATCAGCTAGAATTCTTACTGGACCTCGCCCGGTTCTTCTTTTACATGTGTTTATTAAAGATTGTTGACGTGTAAAAACTTTTAAGAAGCAGCCAGTAAAGAAGCAGGTTATCATTGTCTCTGATTGTTGTGAAAGTGCGCTTAACTAGATCTTCAGAATGTTAGTGAATGGTATAACGGACTACTAACTAGTGAATGTAATAGAATGATAATGTTGAGTTGAATGGTATATCCGAACGTACTGGCTGAACTGTACACTGTATCAACTAGCTTTATGCCGTTTCAGAATGTTAAATCAGCTGAGAATTTACTGGTAGGATGTTTTTACAGATGTTTTTATTAAGATTGTTATGTACAAATCTTTAGTAGAAGGTATATACAGCGGTATATTGTCTAGTGTGAAGTGCTTACAGACTTATACTGTTAGTGAATGGTATATACAGGACTGTATACTGTTGTGAATGGTAAATACAGGACTGTATATGTAGTAATGGTAATACAGGATACTGTTATAATGGTAGTAAGGACGTTATACTGTAGTGAATGGTAGTAAGGATGTATACTGGAGTATATGTTAGGACTGGTAATACAGTGATGAATGGTATAGTGACTGGTAATCAGGACTGTTAATGATATAGGAATGTATATGAAGGACTGTATACGTAGTGATGGTATATAAGGTGAATGTATTACAGGAATGTATAGTAGTGATGTAATACAGGTGTATATGTTAGAGGTTTCAGGACTGTATCTGCCATTGGTGTTTTTTGTTTGGATCATAAGTCTTCCCAGTCAGTATTCTGTAATGCCAGCAGTGTTGTCCGTAACACTTCCTAATATGAATACCCTCTTCATAATGCATTATAAGTGCATTCATAATACCTTGTGAGTTATGCATATGGCATTATAATACCTGACATAGGTGCTTATAGCTGCTCATAAGGATCTATAATGCATTATGAAGAGGGTGTTCATATGAAGTGTTAGCACGTTGTCTAAGGCAGGGTTTCCCAAACTCGGTCCTGGGCCCCTCCTGGGTGCACGTTTTGGTTTTTGCCCTAGCACTACACAGCTGATTCAAAACATCGAAGCTTGATGAGTTGGTTATTTGAATCAGCTGTGTAGTGCTAGGGCAAAAACCAAAATGTGCACCCAGGAGGGCCCCAGGACCGAGTTTGGGAAACTCTGGTCTAAGACACAGGACTGTTCTCACCAAGTACACCAATACAGTGTTCCTGCTCTGCAGGATTCCCATAATGCACTACTTTTGACCTGGGCCCATAGGGCTCATAAGAAGTGCACTATGTTAGGGCAGGGGTCTCCTACCCTGTTCCTGGAGAGAGATTCCCTCCTGTAGGTTTTAACTCCAACCCTGTTCCTGGTGAGAGATACCCTCCTGTAGGTTTTAACTCCAACCCTGTTCCTGGTGAGAGATACCCTCCTGTAGGTTTTAACTCCTACCCTGTTCCTGGAGAGAGATACCCTCCTGTAGGTTTTAACTCCAACCCTGTTCCTGGAGAGAGATACCCTCCTGTAGGTTTTAACTCCAACCCTGTTCCTGGAGAGAGATACCCTCCTGTAGGTTTTAACTCCTACCCTGTTCCTGGAGAGAGATACCCTCCTGTAGGTTTTAACTCCAACCCTGTTCCTGGAGAGAGATACCCTCCTGTAGGTTTTAACTCCTACCCTGTTCCTGGAGAGAGATACCCTCCTGTAGGTTTTAACTCCTACCCTGTTCCTGGAGAGAGATACCCTCCTGTAGGTTTTCACTCCAACCCTGTTCCTGGAGAGATACCCTCCTGTAGGTTTTCACTCCAACCCTGTTCCTGGAGAGAGATACCCTCCTGTAGGTTTTAACTCCTACCCTGTTCCTGGAGAGAGATACCCTCCTGTAGGTTTTAACTCCAACCCCAGTTGTAACTGACCTGATTCATCTTATCAACCAGATAATTATTAGAATCAGGTGCGCTAGATTAGGGTTGGAGTGAAAACCTACAGGAGGGTAGCTCTCCAGGAACAGGGTTGGAGTTAAAACCTACAGGAGGGTATCTCTCCAGGAACAGGGTTGGAGTTAAAACCTACAGGAGGGTATCTCTCCAGGAACAGGGCTGGAGTTAAAACCTACAGGAGGGTATCTCTCTCCAGGAACAGGGTAGGAGTTAAAACCTACAGGAGGGTAGCTCTCCAGGAACAGGGTTGGAGTTAAAACCTACAGGAGGGTATCTCTCTCCAGGAACAGGGCTGGAGTTAACCTACAGGAGGGTATCTCTCTCCAGGAACAGGGCTGGAGTTAACCTACAGGAGGGAATCTCTCTCCAGGAACAGGGCTGGAGTTAAAACCTCCAGGAGGGAATCTCTCCACACTGCCCTGATGGAGTGTTTTCAAGTTTTCTTATTTTATTTTAACGCATAATTAGACATTCAAATTAATAATTTGCTTTGCTCCGGTGTATTGTGCCGGATAACGTTAATATTTTGTTAGCTAAAACCTGGGAATTTTTGGAATGTTAGAAGAATTTTGAAACCCTTTGCTCACTTTTACGGTTAATCGGACCCAGATATTGAGAAGTGTTTCTTGTATAATACTGTAATAACACCACTGACTTGATGTGACACATCCATGCTCAGAACAGACGGTGTGTTTGGGTCATGTTTTTGATTTGATTTGGTGGGACTGTGAATTGTTATTATGCTGTACAGCACAGGGGGTTGGTGGTACCTTAATTGGGGAGGACGGGCCTCGTGGTAATGGCTGGAGTGGAATGGTATCAAACACGTGGTCTGAAGCCGTTCCATTCGCTCCGTTTCAGCCATTGTTGTGAGCCGTCCTCCCCTCAGCAGCCTCCATTGCTGTACACCTGAAAGCCTCCCAAGCCCTGCAGAATGTTTGGGTTAATAGCCTAGAACGTGTGCAACAGGAAGGAAAGGAAGTATTTAGTTGTTTGCTGCCTGGTTTATTTGATCAAAATGTTATCTCATGAGATAAAGGAATGTGCAAACAATATAATTAAACACTTGATGTGTCCACATAATGCTAAATAAAAGTTACCCTGTCTCCACGTGGGAGTATATGGGGACATCAACTATTATCTATTCTCATAATATTAACATTGAATTCACTCAAGCAATCTAAAAACTTCTAGAATGTACGTTCTTATCATGACATACCTCCTGAATTCCCCCCTCAACGAGTTCTATTTTCACCTGGACAGTTGGTTATAAGTGACAACTACAAATAACACAAAATGTGCATGTCTGCTCTCAGCTTCTATGCCTGGTCACCTGACTGATTGTTCAGTGATCACTGCATCAGAAGAGGTAAAGGAAAAGGAACCTATTTTAACCTGGTTGCTACAAAGTTACCTCCTTGAAAACAGAACATCAATGTCTTGGTTTCAGGACCAGGGTGTCAACATACAGAGACAGGTTGGGAACACCAGACAGCGCAGTAATCTGGTTGAGTATTCAGGTTGGGAACACCAGACAGCGCAGTAATCTGGTTGAGTATTCAGATGAAGTAAGAGCGAGCCATGCCGGAGCGTTTGAGGTACAGGGGGACAGGAGACGGGTGTCTCAGAGAATTAGCCTGTTTAACTGGAGGGAGGACTATGCTGCAGATCAGCCTGTTTAACTGGAGGAAGGACTCTATGCTGCAGACAGATCAGCCTGTTTAACTGGAGGGAGGACTCTGCTGCTGATCAGCCTGTTTAACTGGAGGGAGGACTATGCTGCAGATCAGCCTGTTTAACTGGAGGGAGGACTCTATGCTGCAGATCAGCCTGTTTAACTGGAGGGAGGACTCTATGCTGCAGATCAGCCTGTTTAACTGGAGGGAGGACTCTATGCTGCAGATCAGCCTGTTTAACTGGAGGGAGGACTATGCTGCAGATCAGCCTGTTTAACTGGAGGGAGGACTCTATGCTGCAGACAGATCAGCCTGTTTAACTGGAGGGAGGACTAGGCTGCAGATCAGCCTGTTTAACAGGAGGGATGACTCTATGCTCCAGATCAGCCTGTTTAACTGGACCTTCTGCATGGAACAGAGAGCTCACTACCAACGCTTCCTGCTCAGGCGACACAGGTCAGAGATAAAGAGACCATAGTTTATTCTTAGCAGACTGGGACTGGACCAGAGCCAGAGCCAGGGTCCTCATGAGAAGGGTCTCCAACCCCAGCATAGCAGACTGGGACTGGACCAGAGCCAGGGTCCGGGACTGGACCAGAGCCAGAGCCAGGGTCCTCATGAGAAGGGTCTCCAACACCAGCATAGCAGACTGGGACTGGACCAGAGCCAGGGTCCTCATGAGAAGGGTCTCCAACCCCAGCATAGCAGACTGGGACTGGACCAGAGCCAGAGCCAGGGTCCGGGACTGGACCAGAGCCAGAGCCAAGGTCCTCATGAGAAGGGAGTCTCCAACCCCAGCATAGCAGACTGGGACTGGACCAGAGCCAGGGTCCTCATGAGAAGGGTCTCCAACCCCAGCATAGCAGACTGGGACTGGACCAGAGCCAGAGCCAGGGTCCGGGACTGGACCAGAGCCAGAGCCAAGGTCCTCATGAGAAGGGAGTCTCCAACCCCAGCATAGCAGACTGGGACTGGACCAGAGCCAGAGCCAGGGTCCTCATGAGAAGGGTCTCCAACCCCAGCATAGCAGACTGGGACTGGACCAGAGCCAGGGTCCGGGACTGGACC